CAGCGTTACGGCCAGAATCTGGCCGTAACGAGCACAAACGTGAGAGAGTTTGTATCAGGCCCAATTTTAGCGGTAGCCGTTAGAGAGAATGTATGAGAACTGCTAAAATTGGGCCTGATCTCAGGTTTGGGCACAATAGCGTTTTTCTTGGGCAGAGGTGTCGTGAAAGCGAGGCTTTGGTAAGTAGAGATCGTCCCGATTTGGATAAACGACGAAGTAGTGGTTAAACCGACGACTTAAAGACAGATTTTAAAGAAAATTTTGGGATATAGCCTAAACTAAAAATCTGGCTTCCAATTTGTGGCCTTAAAATCACTGAAACAAAAAACGAGCTATAATTGTTGCTCAATTGGTAGATCGCTGAACTAGTATGGTAGAATTCAAGGTTTCGGATCTCAAGACAAGGCAGAATGTTTTCAGGCTCAGAATTGAGTTTGTTACTACGTCTTTGCCGTCAGATCATTTTGAGAGACATGTGATCACTCATTTTAAGTTAAGTGGGTAAATTACCATTTTCACATTTTTATTGCTCAATCAAACGAATTGAGCACTCTATACTCTGAACAGCGACGGCCCAGGGCGGGACAAATCCCTGAATCACAAAAAATAGAACATCGAGGTACCGAGTTAGCTGAGAGGGTCTTGACCACTATATTTCAGTCCTCACTCCTGAATATTTACTTCCGTCTCAGTGGGTTCCAGTCCTCGCTCTTGTTTACTTCCGCGACGGGCCGAATACTAAGTGTTCACACTGCACCAAAAAATATCGCAAAAACCAATCGGATATATGACGCTAAACTTTCGAGATCGGCAAGGCGCAGCTTCGCTCCGTCGCAGAAATCGCGTTCAATAGATATTGATTAATAGCCACTCATCTTAACTTGGGAGCACTCTTCATCAAAAAATGATAATGAACAGAATGTCAAGACAGCCGGCAATAAAACTGTTGTGACGTTTGCCAAATCATAGTAACGAAAGAACCTCTTTTTGCTTTTAGCGTGAACGAGTAATGAGGGCAAGATTGCTTAACAAATAGTCATATATTGATAATTAAGGTTATAATGAAAGTTAGTAGAAATAAAACGGAGTGTAGAGAGCTTAAAATGAGTTGATCGGATAAAGAGCAGTTCAATAAAGGACGAAATAATAAAACTTTGTTTTCAAACAAATTACTCCTTGGACGTACAAGTGGGGAGGGGAGGGGGGGGGGGGAAGAATGAGTGGGGATGCCCGCCCCCATAAGGTTTTTCTGAGTTTTTTCCCAGAGGATAAAACATCAGCACCTGAAATTTTCAGTAGCTGTTCGTTTATCTCTCGCACAGATTTTGAGACAAGTTTATTGATGGTCAGTTGCTTTGTATACGGGATATGACGCCATAAGTAGTAGGTGGTCAAGCCAATTTTGGGTGAAAAAAATGTTTTTTCAACTTCTTTAAAAAAAAAAGTAAATCTTGTTGCTAAAATCATGCAAAGTGCTTATTTTTGTGTTAGTTTTTATATAAAACAGAAAAAATTACCATTTCTCGCCGTTTTAACCTGATTTCTAATTCTTGGAAAAATCCAAGATGGCGACCATTGTTAGTGACGTCATAGGCCGTCAGGAGCGCCACCACTCATAAAATATACCTCATCTTGTTAAGAAAATCAAATGCTTTCCGGTAAAGGTAAAGTCTTTCCAAAATACTACAACATATCAAAAACTTAGGAAAGGGGGAATACATATATAATATCCAATTCATATATCCATGACTAGTACATTTCAGTGTGAGTATTTTCAATGTTTTACATTCAAACGATGCCATAAATTCAAACTAAAATGTACTAGTCATGGAGGTATGTATAGTGCGCATTATTTTGTAAAAATTAACATAACGTCAAAACAGTGAATGTTGTAACGCAGATTTTTGACAGGTTCGTAGGATATAAGGTTTGTCTTGAAATTTTAAGATATTACGGTGAATCAATCTCACTGAAAGTTTCAGACCTTATTAAATACATTATGAAGATTAATGGAAGAGATTTTTAAAAATTCGTTCCAGTCGTTTCAGAAATATACAAAAAAGCGCTAAAAGAATGAAGTTGCACTTATACAGGACTTAAAACAGGTTAGTTTTCAAGATCGCGAGAAGGAAAGTACACCAAAATTCCTAGCATCGAAATATGATATTAAGCAGCATTCTGACGCTACTTAAGAATAATTTGAGTCATTTATAACGTTCTTATTAAATAATCTATCACGGCTATTGAAAATGTAAGGTTTGAAATATACTTTTGTCTTAGTCGGATTCAAACATACATAATTTTTCACTCCCTACGGAGATTGTTTGCTAAACACCAAACTTTACGTTCCTAGTGTTGGATTTTCGGTAGCCGGTCTAGATCACCCAAAATTCGGCTTTTTTCAATTTCAAAGTTTTTTGTTTATTGTTGTCATAGTAACATCGATTTTACTTAAAACTACATTTCCACAAATTTCAATCCATAGCCAATTACTGGTGAAAATTTTACAGCGATCGGACAAGAAAAAAAATTCTTTTAAGGCGATTGAAAAATATCGGTATGGCCTCTCAAAAACTGTATGGCAACACCTTAACGTCCGCTTGATCATTAGGCTGTAGCGCCAACATGGCCAATACGTGGGGAGAATTATACAACGTATACTCAATTTAGTACATTAAGATAAAATAAAAGCTGAACTAAAAAGAAAAAAATCATATGATTAAATAGGAACCTATGCACCTTTTCGTTGATAATCTTAATATAGACTTGCCTAGGTTTGGTGCCCTAACACCCAGTTCTTCTGAATATTTACTTCCGTCTCACTGGGTTCAAGTCCTCGCTCCTACGTATTTACTTCCGCGACGGGCCGAATAGGTGTTGTTCAAACTGCACCAAGGTTGAGCACAAAAACCTATCCGATATATATTCGACGCTCCATTGTTGAGATCAGCGAGGTAGCTCCGTCACATCATTTGCGTCGCCACAATCGTTCAACTGTTGATTACAGAGACATTTTGGTGGGGTCCGTTATTGGTCAAATAATTTTCAAATTGTCATAATGGTCGCTCTTCAGTCTACATACATAGGGTTTTAAAATGCCGAAAGACTTCAACATAAGGTGGACGGTGCATAATTTATTCGTGTACGACAGATCTGCAAGAAACCGGAATATATTTGTTTTGTTAATAGCCACCCTGATAACATCTTAACTTGGGAGCACGCTTCATCAAAAAATGATAATGAACAGAAGGTGAAGTTTGAAGTTTGCCAAATTAAAGAACGAACGAACCCCCTTTTGCTTTTAGCGTGAACGCGTAATGAGACGAAATAAAAATAGTAACAAAAGAAATATTGAGAAGGTTATAATGAAAATTGTTAGAAATAATACAGAGCGCGGAGAGTTGGAACTGAACGGACAGCAGTTCAATAAAGAACGAAATAATCAAACTTTGTTTAAAACAAATTATGACCAAATGACGGTTGCATAAAATTCATCTGTTTATGTTAGTTCTCTAGAGACGGGCTAATTTATTCCGAAATAAATGCACAAAAAATTCAACCCTGACAACAAAGCAGTGTATTTAAAGAAAAGAACATGGATATTATTGGTAAATTATGCTAGGGAAAAAAAACTTATATATTAACCACCTTTAGCGCCTCTTGCGATGGGTTCTTTACCTGTTTCATTTTTGTTCTGAGATAGACCAAGGTATATATCATGTGCAGCAAAATTTTCGTGGGGACATGATATTTGGCGGATTTCCAGGATTTTCGAAATATCTATGACATGAATGCGAAAAAAACAAACAAACAAACAAAAAAACCAAGCTGCGAAACTTACACTCCCAACCTGCACATGACGACCCTCTTAAGGAATCTGAGTTGCGGTAACTTTGCTTTCTTAGAAGCGTTATGCCTACATATTATAATAGCGATCCTTTTTCTCTTTAACTACCAGTACGAATTTTAAATTTCAGTCCTGTTATATTCTCAGAAGTAACTCAAAAAGGATAGGCGGGTTGGTACAGGTGGTGTACTACCTAAAAAAGTGATTATCAAAAGTACACGGGCTGCGTTTGAAAGGTCATGCCAGTACTCGAGTATCATGAGCGTAGTCTTATCTAAAGGTTCGTATTAAGTGACTTAAAAGCGTGCAAGCCTTGAAACGTTTCTGGCATGAAGAGTTTCATGCCAGGGGCTAGCGCCGCCGTAGCTTTGAACTCCATTTCGACGATTTTATGACAAATGGAAAATATCAATTAAAATAACATCCTCTACGAATTGCCAGGTCAGTCGTACCTAAAATATGGCCAAGGCTCGTGTCTTATCCAGAATTGTGGAATCCACGATTTTGCAAAAATTTGTACCCGCTAAACGCAGACAGGTAATGTGAGCAATAAACTCTCGCCTAAATTTCAAGGCACAAGGCACCCCTCAATTGCTAGTTACAGTATAAGTGACCCCAAACTCGCACAAATAAACAGACCGATAGACAAATTTTAGCTGTCGATCGTCTATATTTACGTAGAAAAATATAAAAGAAAAGCTTAGTTTTGTCATTATTTTGTTCAAATTTCGGAACATCGTTTTTCTATTTGACCTATTACTTGTCATAGGTATGGGGTGGGGGTAAATGCCTCCTTCCCATTTAGCGATAGATCAATGCAAATTTAACTTTTTATTTATGAATATTTTTCTTTGGATGAAAATATAGCAGTTTTCTTGCTTTGCTAGGAGTACCCGGTAGGACATCTGTTAACACTGTTTATGGGCCAATTGAGACGTCATCCTTTTATTGTTTTCGAATCTTTTTATTTCATTCTTTCTCCTTGTTTTCTCTCTGTGTGACTGCTTCTCGCATTAACATGCTGTTTTGTTTACAAATTTCCTGTAGAAAAGGGGGATACTACTGGTAACCATAACACTTAGTGAGGATGAAAGAATGCTGGAATGTTTGGAGTGAGACTAGTAGAATTATTTCTGAAAAAGAAGAAAGAGCCTGGTTTGCAGCATCTATCATCGAGTTTAGTGTCATCTTTTTGCTGAACGCTTTTACACTCGCCATCTACACAAGAAACCGTCACTTACGCAAGCCCAGTACGTACCTGATTATAAATCTGACTGTGGCAGATTTAATGGTGGGAACAGTGTTTGTACTTTTATCATTTTTCGTACCAGATAAACCGGAGAGGGACGTGAGTAGTGATGGAGGCTACAGTAGGGCCCAACCAATCAAAGCGCAGCAACTTTTTTCTCGACCAATCAGAATCCAGCATAGAGCCCACGTGACCATGATGACGTTGCCATGCCCATATTTGGGCATCAAAGTCACGTGACCCCATAAGAAAAAGAACACCACATACTTGGCATAGTTTTATGGACCGCGCGAAGCCTAGTGACAAGTGGGACGCATGCACAATTCAACCCCAGGCGTTTCCCCTGCGCAGTCACGTGAATGGGATCGTAGGCACATGCGCAGACCACCCAACGACTCCCCAGGTCCCCCGCATGCATAGGAGCCTATGTCCGCCTAGACCTACTACGCATGCGCAAACACTCAAAATAAGCCCCAGTCCCCTCGCATCCCCAGAAGTCAATAAAAAACACACTGTATAGTGGTCCACATCATTTAATACAAAAAACAAGTCTCGACAATACCCTAAGTTACATCCGGGACGTGTGTGACGTCCTAATGACGTCACGCCCATTGTTTTACATGAAATACGCATTACGAAGAAAGGGTGTTTGCTTCCTGGCTGAAGGAGTCATGAGCAATGGATTAGGCCATGGAATATAATGGTGGAATCNAGTGTCATCTTTTTGCTGAACGCTTTTACACTCGCCATCTACACAAGAAACCGTCACTTACGCAAGCCCAGTACGTACCTGATTATAAATCTGACTGTGGCAGATTTAATGGTGGGAACAGTGTTTGTACTTTTATCATTTTTCGTACCAGATAAACCGGAGAGGGACGTGAGTAGTGATGGAGGCTACAGTAGGGCCCAACCAATCAAAGCGCAGCAACTTTTTTCTCGACCAATCAGAATCCAGCATAGAGCCCACGTGACCATGATGACGTTGCCATGCCCATATTTGGGCATCAAAGTCACGTGACCCCATAAGAAAAAGAACACCACATACTTGGCATAGTTTTATGGACCGCGCGAAGCCTAGTGACAAGTGGGACGCATGCACAATTCAACCCCAGGCGTTTCCCCTGCGCAGTCACGTGAATGGGATCGTAGGCACATGCGCAGACCACCCAACGACTCCCCAGGTCCCCCGCATGCATAGGAGCCTATGTCCGCCTAGACCTACTACGCATGCGCAAACACTCAAAATAAGCCCCAGTCCCCTCGCATCCCCAGAAGTCAATAAAAAACACACTGTATAGTGGTCCACATCATTTAATACAAAAAACAAGTCTCGACAATACCCTAAGTTACATCCGGGACGTGTGTGACGTCCTAATGACGTCACGCCCATTGTTTTACATGAAATACGCATTACGAAGAAAGGGTGTTTGCTTCCTGGCTGAAGGAGTCATGAGCAATGGATTAGGCCATGGAATATAATGGTGGAATCCTATCAAGGACCAAGGTTTAGATAAAGGACGACGTAAATCAAAACGGGTGGCTGAAATGAAAGGAGGGGTGATTAGAGCCAAGAAGCAAACTGAATCAGAAACACTCGACCATTGGCACGCACAAGGCGGTGTCTTACTGTCCAATGAATGACTAGAAAAACAAAAAAGACTTAATTACAAAGTGGGACGTGTGTGACGCCCTCGTGGTGTCACGCCCGGGAAAGATTGTACACAAAACAATTCGATTAAAATCCAATCTTGGTTAAAATTAAAATGTTGTAAGATCCAAAGCGTTTCTAGGAAAAAAAATTAACGTTTTAGTTTGAACAGATAGAGTAAGCTGGACCATCCTTGATGATTGACAATACAAAGTTTATGAGGAATGGGCCAGCTTCGGAAAATCATGACATCTTGTAAGACCCAAAAAGAATCTAAAAATAGATTTTAAAAAAAATAATCATGAACATCCAGCAGGGGTGGCGCCACCATGCAGACCTCCCCCTGCCGGGTGTTCAGAATTCCCAATCCATGCTGTCCATCATGGCACAGCCCCGACAGGGTTCATGGAGTTCNCCACCCAACGACTCCCCAGGTCCCCCGCATGCATAGGAGCCTATGTCCGCCTAGACCTACTACGCATGCGCAAACACTCAAAATAAGCCCCAGTCCCCTCGCATCCCCAGAAGTCAATAAAAAACACACTGTATAGTGGTCCACATCATTTAATACAAAAAACAAGTCTCGACAATACCCTAAGTTACATCCGGGACGTGTGTGACGTCCTAATGACGTCACGCCCATTGTTTTACATGAAATACGCATTACGAAGAAAGGGTGTTTGCTTCCTGGCTGAAGGAGTCATGAGCAATGGATTAGGCCATGGAATATAATGGTGGAATCCTATCAAGGACCAAGGTTTAGATAAAGGACGACGTAAATCAAAACGGGTGGCTGAAATGAAAGGAGGGGTGATTAGAGCCAAGAAGCAAACTGAATCAGAAACACTCGACCATTGGCACGCACAAGGCGGTGTCTTACTGTCCAATGAATGACTAGAAAAACAAAAAAGACTTAATTACAAAGTGGGACGTGTGTGACGCCCTCGTGGTGTCACGCCCGGGAAAGATTGTACACAAAACAATTCGATTAAAATCCAATCTTGGTTAAAATTAAAATGTTGTAAGATCCAAAGCGTTTCTAGGAAAAAAAATTAACGTTTTAGTTTGAACAGATAGAGTAAGCTGGACCATCCTTGATGATTGACAATACAAAGTTTATGAGGAATGGGCCAGCTTCGGAAAATCATGACATCTTGTAAGACCCAAAAAGAATCTAAAAATAGATTTTAAAAAAAATAATCATGAACATCCAGCAGGGGTGGCGCCACCATGCAGACCTCCCCCTGCCGGGTGTTCAGAATTCCCAATCCATGCTGTCCATCATGGCACAGCCCCGACAGGGTTCATGGAGTTCGGACACGTGCCGTAAATAGATCCAGCACCGTTTACACACAAAATACAATCGCCCCGTCAAATTTTGGAGGGACCTTGAATGTTGGTCCATCACCTGGGCAATGGCTGAAAAAGGAAAGGGAGATAAATAGCTCGCATGACAAAATGAGAATCTGAAAAAAATAAAAAACATGTTTTTAAGGATGGGGTGGGTAGCCCATGCCTTGCAATATCTCGCACCAATAACAGGGCACGTGTAAGTCGCCGGCAAAACGAAAATTCAAATAACAACGACAACAGAGTAATTTAATGGGTCTCGGAAATGGAAGATGAACCCCCGATCCAGTATACCACTGCACGATGCTGCCGAGAAAACAACATGCAGCGGAGGTACCATGAACCCGGTGGGTACTGAGAATGGTATGCGAATCTACAAAAGAAATTAATAATAATGCTGTAAGGCCATGAGTAAGTAATTGATATCGTCTCGGAGCCGGTGGTTGTTCTTGAGGAAGAAATGCGTGCCTAGAAAGCAGTGTGATTGCAGAATTTAATGAAATATAGAACACTATGAATATGGTATCGTTGTTGCAAGGCAAGGATCCACCCCCATTGGTCCATAGTAGAAATCACATCTGAAACGTTTCATGAAGACTAATTACACATCGAACAGTACTATAATGACAACGCAATTGCACGGGTCTAATCCATCCTCCATACTGTTTCAACGTATAATGAAAGCCTACAAAGAGGTGGAAAGTCGAATCAAGACGGGAATACTGGTACGAAAGAAACCGGAGTGTAAAGGGCGGATCCATTGCGTATGATGACGCAACAAACAATGCGTGGCTGTAAAAAAAAAAAATTTAAACTAAAATTAATCCTCCTCTAAAAAACCTAGGGCAACCAAATCCGGTTCGCCCACAGGACCCTGGCGCCGGAGAAACGAATTAATACGGAAGGTCATCCGTAGAGGCCAATCGTCCCAGTCCCGATGGTTGGGGTCCCCACTCTGCACAAACTCGACAATATCATCTTCGGTGAGGGACCCCTCCCTATTGCCTGCAATCACATCATCTAATGTTAATCCATCCATCATGCGTTCGCAATGGTTGCAAACCCCGCCAGGGGTGGGATGGGCGACCCACTGATAAATATAACAGACAGGCTGATTCTCCACATGGTCCCAAGAATCTAATAAAAAAATGAAAATCAACACGAACAGGTTGGGACCCAGAACCGCGCGGCCCAATTGAGTCGAGCTCGTCGAGGGCAAAGACACAGGTAGACAGGCCACAGCACAGTGCGTAGAAACTCAATCCCCGGGAACACGTCTAGGAATCAAAAAAGGGAAATGAGGGAAAAAAGGGACCCACACCCGAAAAAAAAGGAAAGCCATGAGACTTACCAGCCATGCGGCGGCGATGGACCTCATGATCCAGTTTCCGGGCAACGGGGTGGTCCCAAGGCAGTGTCTTGGCCCAATCTCGCAGTTCCTCGTGGGTGCAGCGTCTAAACATAGCGCGCAGGCATACCTTTCCCATCGGGAGGCGGTCCAACAACTTCAACATGTCGAACAGAACAGCAATCGGCACCGAGTACAATACAATGGACTGGAGCGAACTCACCATCTTGACCAGATTAACTGAACAAACTGGAATGAACCCACACGGGGCGCGCAACGTGATTTAGAGACTCCACGAGCGAATCGGATTGGTGGAGAGCCATCACGTGGGGATAGTATGAACGAGAGGAGACTCTAGGGGGTACCCCCCATGGGTACACCTTATCCTCCCTGGACCAGGGGGTCTAGCGCGAGTGGGTGATTGGTGGAGACCTGAGGATAAACAAGGAGAACACCACGGTGAGAGGTCAGTTGCCTGAGTTTTGCGCTGTCAAAATGGACTACCGAGGGTTAGTCGAACCTAACAACAAACCATTTGGCCGCGTGTTGCCCTTGGAGGTCCAGGTCAAGATCATGTTTTGGGTCCATTGTTTCTATACTATGGATAAGCGAAAGAAGGTGGTGCGTGAATTCAAAGGTCTACCCAAATGCGACATCACAGGCTTCCCACAACATCTGGGCGAAGATCGTTGGTGGAACCAAGTGGTGGTGCGATTGCACGCCCCCAGAAAAAATGGCTGCCACCACTGCCACCGTCTCATGGATCATCGATTATCGGTAAGGGAAAAGTGTGTTGGTTGGTTTTTTGGTTTTGTTGGGTGGACTGAATGGTCTTTTATGTCTGGATTTCAGATTGGCATGATGGTGGAGATGGCACGTCAACCTCCCAATCTCGACCACCTGTTGAACGAGGGCATTGCCTTTATCATTGATACCTTCAAGCATCAGATCCCCCAATGTCCCCTTGGACAACGCCCTGTCATGATAGGGAGAAGGAAACCTTCGTACGATACAGTGGATAAAGTCATGAGACGCTTGGACTTGATTATGAATGTCATGTCAGCCATGAATTTTATTGTCATTGATATTCATTAAAAAACAAATGATATAGTCTGAACCGTGTTGTCTGTTAAATGTTCATGGTCGTTTAAATAAAGCTTCCAGGGTGGGATAGATCGCTGAATCTTCTTCCCGTGTGCCTACAATAGCGGTCTTGTCCTGGAGGGTGGGTAGGACATTGTAGTCCTCGGTCATGCCTTCACAGGGTTGATATTGACCTAGGGTGGGATTCCACCATAACCATTCTTCTCGATCCACATCAAAGACATAGAGGGGTTTGCCTAAGAGCTGGGCCATGACCACACTCCAGCCTGTTCCGCCCAATAGATGCTTGCGCATCCCGTCAAAATAGCCCACGGCCAAGACTAAGGACGCGGGCTGGATCACGTGAACATTCCGCTGGATATACCGGAGACTGATTGGATGATGCACTTGTCGACCCAATCGAAACGCGGCCTGGGTCACGGTGGGGGTGGCGGCATCCAACTCGGACTGCGTCAAGGGCGCGAGGGACTTGGCTCGAGGGTGACAGGGTGGGATGACGACCACACACGCATGACCATACAACTGACATAATCGTTCCACATGCGTGTCCACGCCTTTAGCGCCGCCCGTGTAAATAGTCAATGGCATGGTCTGTCGAAAAAATTAAAAACAGTGTTTAGGGTGGAGTCCACGCCCATAGGGTGTGCGGTTCATCATCAGCGTACAGCATGGGGGTTTGCCATTCCCGACACGTGACCGTTTGTTCGAAAATACGACGGGCATGGCGACAGTTGGAGCAATTATCGGGAATCCAATCCAGGCCTTGCCCTTGAGCGAACGCCTTGTCTTTGTCGTCCTTACAAGGGTTGCATAAGATCACATCCAACAGACGATCGCATCGTTTTTGCCACAAGACGCGTTGGGCATTGACTTGGTACAGGGTGGGTAAGACATGGGAGTGGCGACGTAACCATCCACTCATTTGACAAGCCCGGACGTGCGCGCAATGATCGTGCCAGACCCCACTCTCACGGGCTCCGTCGGTATGGTCCATGCACCAATTACGCCCCTGATCGTTCGTGGCCATCACATTGACGGTGGCAATGGGAAGAGAGGCCAAGTCCCCACACCCCTGCCCTTCCAAGACCACGAGGGGGTACGACATCTCTTGGAACCATCGATACAGACCATTGAGTGTCAACACCTTGAGTCGATTCCGTTGGGGGGTAAGGTACCGTTGACACCAACGGGTGAGATCATCCTTGATCTGATGGTAGGGATGAAACTCCTGGCGGTTATACACCGTAGACGGTTCAAAAGGCAACCCATGCACTGTCTGGGTCTGACGATCGACACGCCTCTTGGCCTTCTCGGATAATTGATCGTATGACACACCCTGCGGTAACAAGTATTTGAACAACACATGATGATGCCCTGTCCAATCACACAAAGCCAGTTCTCGAATAATATACTCGTCTCGGGAAAGGGCAAACCCCTGACTGAACACCAAGAGACCCACGTCGTTCAACGTCATGTTCGCTTACCGTCAAGAAGAGAGGACCGCGACGAATGAGACAGCCTTCGACCCACGACTGGCTTTATAATGGAACCCATGGGCTCTGATTGGCGGAGCCTCCGATCACACCACTCTCACGAGTGTCAAAGGCTGAGCCAGGATTGGTGGACACAAGATCGTATGAGGATCACGAGATGCAGGGACATGGGCTATAAAAGGCAGACCAGACATGCACCCAACGTCATTCCGCCCAGACATGGAACGTCAAGCCACTCAACCTGCTGCGGTACCCACAGGACGCAAACGACGCCGAGTGAGTAGTAGTAGTAAGAAACCCAAGGGGGAAAAAGAAGACATGAAAGCCACCCGTGAACGCGAGATGACTTTGATCGGGTTGCCCCGAGCTGAAGCGGAGGCCTATCAAGCGCAGGCTGTAGTGAAGAAAGTAGAACCGACCCCCACCAGTGAACTCGTGTTGGCCCTGAACGCCCTACCCCGAGCAGACCCACCACCCACACCTTCCCCCATCGTCTCACCCGTCCCCTCCGTGAACGATTTGATGGAGGGCACCCTAAAAGATTATGAGGAAGAGTGTCTAGAGGAAGGGACGTATCAGACCGATCCTGCCCAGGAAGACCAGGACCTCGATCAGATGGACACCCAGTTGAACGAGCTCTTGTATGAAACGTGCCCCTTTCATCCGTGTGAATACATCTATTGCGTCAACCCCCAGACCCAATTTGGCCAGTTGAGATTCAAGTGCCCCCAAAAAGGATGTCCTGTGTATTTGTTTGAAGATAGTCGGGAAGTGATGATGGAGAAATTGAAAGAAGACACACACCCTCAAGTCCGTGCCCGAGTGCAACGAGGGGAGCTCAAGTGCAAATGTGGGTTGGTCCCTAGGATGAAATTGAGCCGGACCAGCAAGAATTACCAGAAAGTGTTTTTTAGTTGTGGGAGCTTTCTCCCAGGCCAAGACCCCTGTGGCTACTTTCAATGGCTCCATGGCCCGCTGTGGTGCCCCCGAGAGCCAACGCAACCCACCCTGAGACGATGGGTGAGAGACACACCCCCTGAAGTCCATGACCATGAGAAGGCGTCCGTAAGACCATGGGGCATTCCTGCAGTCCCTCTTTTGAAAGGAAAAGGTCATGAGATGGAGACATCCCCACCCTGGGAGATGAACTTGGTGGAGAGGCATAGGCCGTGGGCCAATCAGTTTAAGGAAGCCGCCCAAGCTCAGGAGCGAGAGTATGAGAGAAGGCGCCATTTGCATAAGAACTTTGGTAGCATGTGTTTGTTTTGAAAAAAATCATGTAGGTGTGTGAAAAAAACTATTAAAGACAGAGATTGGCTAGAATGAGGTGTCAGTGTCTTGATGTCGTTGCCACGCGCTTACGAAGATCCCCAGCAACCCGGGGCTTTGGGCGGGGTCCAACCTTTTGCCCAAGCTCATAAATTGAAAACCCCGCAAGCGCAACGGATTCTCCAATCGGTGTTGAGTTATACCCTCCACAAACCCCGACGGACGCGGTTTCCCACAGCGCCCACGTTGGTCTTTGACCGAGACGAACAATGGCAGATGGATTTGGTCGACATGCAAAAACTCCGTCGATGGAATCAAGGGAACAACTATTTGTTGACGGTGATCGACGTCCTGTCCAAGTATGCCTGGGCCGTCCCCATCAAATCCAAAAGCAGCACGGACATGCTCCGAGGGTTGGACAAGATTCGTCGACAAGCCTCGCCGCGACGACCGCTCCGCGTGCAGACGGATCAAGGCAAAGAATTTTTAAATAAAAAAGTGCAAGCCTGGTTCAAGCAACAGGGGTGGCATCATTTTTACACGTTTGGGGATAGCAAGGCCTCCGTGGTGGAACGATGGCATCGCACGTTGAAACAACGCATGTACCGGTATTTCACCGCTCACAATACGTTACGGTACGTGGACGTGTTACAACCCTTGATTCATACCTACAATCACACCCAGCATCGCAGTATTGGGATGGCCCCGCATCAAGTCACCCCCAAAACGGTCCCGGAGGTGTGGGACCGACTCTACGGCGCGCGTTTGGAGCAAACGACCCCACCGCCCAAATGTCGCGTCGGGGATCGGGTGCGTCTCAATAAGAAACATCGTCCCTTCAAAAAAGGGTATTTGCCCGGGTGGACGGAAGAAGTGTTTGTGGTCACGCACGTTCGTCGTCATCCGATCGTCACGTATCGACTCAGTGAATGGGACGGCACGCCTATAAAAGGCACGTTTTACGAACCCGATGTTCAAAAAGTGCAAGTGTCGGACGACTCGTTATTTCGGGTCGAAAAAGTGTTGAAACGCCAAGGACGCCGGGTGTTGGTCCGGTGGAAAGGGTGGCCGGCCAAGTACGATAGTTGGATTCCCGCGCACCATGGTCCGCGTCAAAATCACGCCTCGAAAAAGAAAAAAGCGGGTGCGGTTTCTCGATGAGGTGCAGGCGGATTCCAGCCGACCGCGCGCCAGTTACACCCCCACGCCCACCAGCGACGCCGACGTACTGACATTCATTCAGAAGAAAGCAGCCGAACAACGGCAAACCCAACCGTGGTGGGACAAGTTGGCCAGTCCGACCAAGCAGCAATGAGCGTACGCCAATGCTTACCATCGAGCCGAAGCGTATGCCAAGAAACGAGGGGCCTTGCGGTCCCCCTCCAAGAAAAAACAACAACGCCGACGCGCGGGTCGTCATCCCCCGATGCGCAAGAAGAAATCCCCCAAACCCAAGACGTGTATGACCCTGATGGAATTGGCCCGGGCCTTTCCCAACATTGCCCAGCAAGTGTGTTTTCATCCCAGACAATCGACCTTCAATTCCGTGGTAGGACACGTCCCTCGCAGCAAACAGAAAGTGGCCCAATGGCTATAAAAGGACCCTGCCCCTGGTCAGAGGGGACCACTCCTCTTCAGGATGAACGAGATTAAACGCCTGACGCTGGTCAGCGATCCCACCGACGAGTTTCCCAACAATGCCAATAACAGTTTCAAGGTGCGATTGCCCGAACGGCTGGTGTTACCGGGCGCGGGGTGGCATGCCTCCTTGATGTCGCTGACCGTCCCGGATCAAGGCCAGAGCAATGCCGTCGTCGCCACGGATCCTCATACCCAAGTCGTCAAATTTAGCGTGACGTACTTGACGCGCAAATATGTGACGGGCTTATACCGTTTTGTGAGTTTTAAAACCAAGGAGTATGTGGTGGAATTGGAAGATATCATGAGTGCCCAACATTCTGTGACCACTGGCAATGAGTTTTGGCAACGAGTGATGCAAGAAGTGCACAACACGACCATGCAGAAACTCATGTACGAACAAGATTATGCCAAGACCTATGATGGAGATGAAAAACCTATAGTCAGCTTGAAAAAGAATTGGATGCCCATGATGACCTGGAAAGACAATGCTTTGATTTTGCATGCTGTGCCTAAAATAGAGTTGCTCAACAGCAACAAGACCAAAGCCACGAGCGCCTTTTCCCTGGATCTAGGGGTAGCGAAAAAGTTTGGCTTCATCGAAAAACCCGAAGGTTGGGCAGATTATAGATTGGGTCCCAATATCCAATTTACCTGCCCTACAGTGACCTACACTAACCAGACTCAGCCAGACAATAGCGACCCCGCTCCTCGCGCGGACTACAAGTGGAATGGAGAGCATTATATCGGGACGCAACCGTCTGATTTGAGCGATGAGGTGATGGATATCATGTATGTAGTAAAAAATAAGAGGCTTTGTCTGTCCAGGATGGTGGAATGGCAGTTTAATAATCTCAATGCCTCGTTTGAAAAAGCGGTGGGGACCCGCAAACGCACCGTCATGGTCTATTCGGATCTAGTCGAATCCACTGTGGTGGGCAGTGGCAAGTTTCCCCTGTTACGGGAAGTGCAATTGCTGAGAACCGGCGATGGGGAAAGCACGGCGGAACCCCTGCACCATCAATGGATCAAAGTGCGAGGACAACAATTGGATATTTTGGAAGTGGAGATTGCCAGTACCAGTGGACCCCTGGCCATTTTACCCCCGGGCAAAACCTTGGTGACCATCGGTCTCAAACAGCTATAAAAAGCCATTCACGCCACGCGAGGATCCAAACAGCACCTCGACGTGAACCGACCCAATGCGCGGAGGCAGTTTAACGCGGTACCACACGCCCGTGGTCACCTCACAAGAGGGGAAAGGGTTAGCCGAAGACTTGATCAAACTGGCGGGACCCATGGTCCTACAACAAGCTCAAGCGGGACTACGAGATATTCAACGAGGCAAGAGTGCCGCGGAGACGTGGGCGGATCGACGTGGGCAACTCACCCGTGGGTTGAAACGGAAAGCCCTCGCCACGGTGTGGGCGGGTGGCAAACACCAAGCCAAAAAAACCTATAAAAGACAACGTATACGGGACATCTTTGGACGTTAAACATGGTACGCGTGGGTGGTTTTCTCAAAACGCAAAATCGCATTCGACGGCAACGTGCCCGTGGACGGTTCATCTCGCCGTACCAAGTCGGGGGCACGATCTTTGGCAAGTCGACGACGGCGCGCTATCCCTTGATGCATACTTCCTCCCGCTTGACGGACCCCCTCGCCATGGAGAAGAGGATGGTTCGATATGCGCGCCAGATGAAAGGGGGGGATCTCAGAAAGGTGTTGTGGGCCAACCAAGCCAAAGCCAGGAGGCAACGGATGAAAGGGGGCAACGTCTTCCGTCAGTTAAAAAAACGCCTCCACATCGATTTTCCTCATCGCCCCTTTCCCGCCGCGCATCCCATTCATGATTGGTACAGACTGCGAAAAGGTATAAAAAGAGGACGCCGTTGAACCCCAGGGACAGACCGCATCATGTCGCTCCAACTGTTTGACGTGCCCGAGGTGGATTATCGGTACGAAGCCTCTCGGGAGGTGGAATTTCAACCCGCCTTGACGGGTATCCAGCCCATCACGTTCTCCATCCCGGGTTCCGACGATTATTACGATACCAATTCCCTCCGATTCAAAGTCAAAGTCCGTCTGACCGATCCAGCGGCTGGGTATACAGGCTTGGATGCAGGGCTGCTCATCTCCGATGCCAACGAATCGAGACATGTGTACTGTGTCAACAATTTTGGACACACCATCTTTCGAGATATCACCCTGAGCATGAATGGGGTCCTCATGACGGAACAGAGCAACACCTACCATTACAGAGCCTACCTAGAAACCCTCCTGAACTACAACCGAGAAGAAGGTGCCACCAAGTTAGCCCCCCAAGGATGGGTCAATCAGCTGAATGTGGTGAATGTCATGGGAGCCACCGCCGCCAATTCGGATGTCCCCACGGACGCCGAGTGGAGTGGCAATACAGAATTGCGTGCTTTGACGAGCAAATTACTGGAAGAACATTGGCACACCTTCCTCATCCGCCCCCATTTGCCACCCCTCAAGACAGGCAAATTATTGGTCCCCAATGTCCAGATGGACTTTGAACTCTTCCTCAACCCCAACACCGTCTACTTGCTAGGTACCCCCAACAAAGGCACCTTGGCGGTCAAGAAAATTCCAGCCATTCACCCAGAAGACATCAAAGTCACCTTGCTGATGAGAAAAGTGACCTTATGCCAGTGTCTATGTGAGACTGCAGAAAGAAAGACAGCTGGGCAAACAAATTGCCCGCTACCCCGTGGTGCGGAGCGAAATCCGTACTTTTTCCTTTGATGGACGAACCACCCAATGGGAACAAGATAATGTGTTTGTGGGTCGATTTCCTGACCGAGTGATGGTCGGGTTATTGCATTCGGATGCCTTCAATGGAAACCTACAACGCTACCCCTTTACCTTTGAAAAGTTTGGGGTCACCCAAATACGTCAGACCTTGAATGGAGAAGAATACCCTTACAGAACCCTGCAACTGACTGGAGCAGAAGCCTATGATGATCTCCTGGGGTACGATCGATTTCTGCAAGCCATGGGTGCCTACAATGAAGACAAGATTCCCCTCCTGCTGCCTGGGGATTGGGGACAAGGCAAGAACTGCACGTTGTTTCTGTTCAACAATGTGCCCAGTGAAAATGCCGATGATCCTCAGTATCGCAACCCCCGTCAATCGGGCAATGTGCGACTGATCATTGATTTTGCTGCTGCTGTGGGTCACAACATCACTGTGTTGGTCTGGAGCGAGTATGAAAACATGTATGAGATCAATCATATGGGAGGTATAAAGTACAACATCAACGGCTGAGATGCATTCAGAAGACAGAAGACACCGGGCATGGAGTTTGTGGCGCTCAGTGATAGGGTGCTGCGGACCCTGGCCCTAGAAGATCCCACGTTGCGACGCGTGTTTCACGGGGTGTACCCCGCCGACCAGTTACCCCGTTCACCTCCCAAGAGTGTCCGTCAAGCCTACATTGTCAACACGGATCCAGCGGGAGAGCCGGGACAACATTGGTTGGGCCTGTGGACGGAACAGAACAAGTGCGAGATCTTTGACAGTTATGGACTGCCCCTGCACGTGTACACCCACCCCGACCTGCACCAATGGTGGAGTCAATGGAAGCACCTGATCCGCAGTGACCAGACGTTGCAAGCCCTGGATAGTCAGACCTGTGGCCATTATGCGTTATTTTTCCTGAAAGCCCGTGCTCAAGGCCAGTCGTATCAAGACTTTTTGGGGCAATGGAGTTGCGACAATTTAGTGTTGAACGATCAGAAAGTGGCCGAGCAGTTGAAACGGGTGATTAAACAAGAAGTCCAAGATGAAGTCGATGCCCGCCCAGAGGAGGGAGGGCAAAAGAATGTGAGCCGCCAGGCCTTTATGCTTTGTAATCCTTGTGAGTGTTGAAATAAAAAAACACCATAAAACGAGATGTGCGGTGAACGAGTGGTCATTTGAAATCTCATCATGATTACGCGAGGGGATGTCCAGCGGGTGATAGACGCCTTCGTGATAGAAGAAACCTTGTATTGGTGGTCCCACCCCATTGAACGGGTGAACACCGTCCAAGGGGTGGATGCCTGGGATGGGTATCATTGGCTCATAGCCCGCCAACTGGCGCAAGACCAAGATTGGGTCGCTCTCAAACAGTACATGGACGCCCTGAAAGAAACGCATTTAAGAGAGACCATGGAACATTTGATTCAAAACGAATCGCCACGCCTCTACCGCGAGTATTGGACAGCATGCCCAGCCACAGACGACGACGACGACGGCAGCGCGCTTCCTCCCGACGACCCCGTTTTCGTCAAAACGGACGAGGCATCATGAGCGTGTTGGCCAAAGCGGCCAACATCGGCTATAAATTGGGCCGTAGCAAACGGTATAAACGCATGGGCGCGAAAGGGGCCACGGGTCATTACCGACGACTGCCTCGACCGTGGGAAGGATGATTCGACAGCCCAGTAGTGTGATTATCGCTGGCCCGTCGGGCAGTGGCAAGAGCGAGTTAGTGGAACAATGGTTACGGGACCTCAACGTGTTTCAAGTCCCACCTAAGAAGATCGTCTACGCGTACGACCGATGGCAACCCCGGTTTGATCGTATGCAAAAGAAGGAGGGGATTCAATTTCATCGCGGGTTACCGGACCCCCGTCATTTAACCCAATGGTTTGGCCGGACGCGTGGTGGAGTGTTGGTGTTGGACGATTTGATGGAAGAAGGGGGACAGGACAAACGCGTGTTGGATTTGTTCACCAAAGATTCTCATCATCGCAACATCACCGTCTTGTATTTGACGCAAGATTTATTCCCACCGGGTAAATTTGCCAAGACCATTAATCGCAACGCGCATTACATTGTGGCCTTCAAGAATCCCCGAGATCAAACGGGTATACGGACCATTTTACTGCAAGCCTTTCCCGACCGATGGCGTCAAGTCTTGCGCCTATTTAAACGCATCACGTCCCGTCCCTTTGGCTATTTGATGTTGGATGTGCATCCGATGTCGGATGATCGGTACCGCTTGTGGAGTCATTTAACGCGCCGAGAAGGCAAGGCGCAAGTCCATACCCTGCCCGTGGATGTCCCTGCCGTTCGAAAACGAACTGCAACGAGAACTCGCCAGGGTCCGTCGGCAAAGAGAAGGCGGACAACATACTGACTTATCGGTCCGCATGGACACGCCGACCTTCTCGTCCGCCGGCGTGGGGTCACCCACCACCCCTCCCCCAGATCTCAGTACCATGACGGACATGGTCGCGGCACTGACCCAACCCGTGGATCGAGCCCAATTGGATCAAGAGATTGAGGATTTTAACTTGACCTACCCGGTCAATGTAGATGATGCCCTGAATGCCTTTACCTTACCCCCCGTGGCAGGTACAGGCACTACCACCACGGCACCGCCCCCACGACCCACGATCACCACGGCTCCTACCACCAGCTCTAGACGACCCAGACCACGCCCTGTCACCACCGCTACGACCACCACGGCTCCCTCCCGCCCCTCCACTTCCCGACGCAGTGCTGGAGCCGGCACCAGGACCACCACGTCCACGGTGACGACCCCGACGGGTCGTCCCACCATCGCCGCCAAACAACCGCGACGACGTCCCCGCGTACCCTCTCCACCGTCCCCTGATTCCTCCCCTCCGTCGGAGGATGAAGATGAAGATGATGATGACGAGGATCGACGACGAGGCTTAAGGCGACGGTTGGATTTGTAGAACGAAGATGCGCAAGAACGGGCGCGAGGGAGACGCATTCGCAATATCACGCATACCAATACCGTCACCACCGTGTATGAAGAGGGAGGCCGACCGTCGGTACGCCGCACGTCGACGCGAACGTCCAGCCCAAGTCCACCCCCTGCACCACCCCGCCGAGGCCGTAGCCGTGGCCGTGGCCGAGCCCGTGGACGGGGTCGACGCTCGTGAACAAAAAAGATATAAAACCAGGGGTCCTTCCTTCGACCGTCCCAAAACCATGTGTGGCCGATGTCGAAGCGGAATGGCCCCTCGACGCAAACGCAAACGCACCACGACCCGACGTCGCCGATCCCCCGCCAAACGACGACGGGGTCAAGTAGGGGGTGTCGGGCCCGGCCTGCCTCTCGGGATTCTCAAAGCTGGCTATGGGATCACCAAAGCCATTGGGGATCATCAAACCAAGCGTGCCATCGCTATTGGCGAAAAACGCCGACGAGAAGTGGCATCTGGCAAACGGAAACGCTATGCGGGGGAATCGTTTAATTGTTCCATTATGTGAAAAAACAGTATAAAAGACAAGAGGCGTGTCTTTGGTTGGACAGAGAAGGGAGGATCATGCCTTGTGGTAGACGACGCCGACAGCAACGAGGGGGTATTCTCCAGCTCCTCCTCCCTATTGCCGTTGGGGCAGCCATCGCCTTGAAAAAAAAGAACAAGAAAAAAGTGGGCAAGATCAGTGCCAAGCAACAGGCTTTCCTTCAACGACGGGTTCAGCGGATGTTAGGTCGAACGGGGTGGGGCGGGTTTAAAACACTGAGAAAGCTATAAAAGACACGCTGGGTAGGGACCCAGACATTATTGGAGGATGGTCCGTGGACCCAATGGACGCCGACACCGTTATGTCCCCCGAAAACGACGCCGTCGACGTGGTCTGCAACGCGGAGGTAGGCTACCGCTGTTGGCAATGGCTCTCTCGCCTTTGTGGCTCCGAAAATACAAACCCAGGGTCCGTCTTCGTCGACCAGACTAGACCCCCTCGCAAGACCATCACGTTGACGTTAGAGTGGACGGAGGAGATCGAGGCCGTGTTGTGTCAACGATGTCGACGTCATATGCAACGGCATTCTCATGGAGAATTGTGTCGTTCATGCGGAACCCAATTTACCATAAATAGAGCGGGGTCGTGGCAATTTCTGAACCTTCAGCATGGCGTGGCGCATGGAACGTCAAGCCCCGTTCTTGAAAAGTGTCTTACAAGAAGCCAATCAACATAAACGACAAGAATTGTTGCGGATGGCGAATGCGGATCAGATTAATGCCATCAGTGAATTGGTGATGAACACGCTCCGTGGCACCGTGCCCCGTTCTCGACATACCATCACGTTGCTCAAACCTCATGCCCAGAGTTTACGCGCCATGGCCAAACCCGCGCATTCGGTGAAACGACGGCGCGCTATCATGATGGCTCAAACCGGCGGCGCCCTCTGGCCTGAACTCTACCGATGTTATAAACGTTGCATGCGCTAGACAAGACACCTCAGTTGCACCATGGAACCCGAGATGGTGAGCACCACAGTGGACAACGCCCCTGCTTTTTTACAATTAAAAGAAAAGTACAAACAAGAATTGGTGGAAGACACTCGCTTGAGTAAAGCCGCGGATTTGGCGGCCAGACAACATGTGCTCCTGACCAGTGAGGTCCCGGATGCCTGGAAACGACCGCAACTCAAAGCCGTGAGCCGTCAATTACGCCATTGGACCAAAAAAGTGCGCCAACCCTTTGGAGCGCCCGCGGGGGGTGTGCGCGCTGCAGGGGCTGCCACACCCGGCGAGGATGATGATTTTGAAGCGGGGCCTATGCAAGCGTGGTTCACGCAATTGGTCAAGGCCAGCAAAGTTATAAAACAAGGGTCCACGCCGGCTGGACCCAGAAAACCACCTGTCCCGCCTAAACCGAACATCACCCCCAGTGCTAAAAAGAAACTCAAGTTTACGCCTCAACCGAGCAGCGCTGAGTTGGCGAAAAAGTTGCCTTTTTCAGACACGATTGGTACAGAACCCTGGGATACCCCCAGTGAACGGGCGGACACCATTGCGAAATCGGTCAGGCGTGATATTCGCAAACGCACGACAGACTCTGCCAAAAAGAAAGCCGCCAGTATCGCCAAAAAGAAAGCCGCTGGGTGGGCCAAGAAAGCCTTGGATTGGAAATCGTGGAAAACCCCGTGATGGGACGGAGACATCGTGTGGCAGCTACCTCCCGTGCCCGATCGAGGCGACGCCAACGACGATCGCAACGCGGGGGCAAGTTATTTGATGTGCAAAACCTCCTCAACAAGACGGGTATTGAATTTCATTGGCCCGGCTATCAGTATATGGGCCCTGGCACCCATTTGAAAAAACGTTTGGCCCGTGGGGATCCCGGCATCAACCGGTTAGACAGGATTGCGAAAGTGCATGACATGGACTATGACAAAGCCAAGACTTTGAAAGATAAATGGGTGGCGGATCGCAAGATGATTGCCAAGATTGATCAACTCCCTGGTAGTAAAACCCTGACGGAGCGTATTGTGAGACGCATTATGAAAACTAAACTGAGATTGGGCATGTAATTAAGTGGAACACAATCATCACACGATGGAATGATTTAAACACATGTTTTAATAAAACTCACATTGTTCTTACAGATATTGTTGCAATTGTTGTAAGGCGTTGGAACGAGTCGATTGGACAGGGTCCTCGTCAGATTCGGAGTCGGACCAGTCTAGCGGCCACCACGGGAGGGGAAAGGGACGTTCCAAATGTTCGACCAAGCGTTGATTTTGTGTGGACTCCATCCGCTTCCGATATTTTTCTTTCTGCAACGCTCTCCACCCATCCTCCCCCAAGGCTTGCTGTTTTTCGGCCCGGAGTTGTCGCCGCCGTTCATTCACGCGTTCTTTGTAGGCTTCGAAGGTTCCTTCCTCCTTCATTTTTGCCATCCAGTTTTTCTGGGCTTGGGCGTTCCGGCGTTTTACTTCACTCCGTTTTTCCTCGGACATGGCATAATAGCGTTTCATCCCATACTCTAGTTTTTTGGCTTTAAAGGCCTCGTACTCCCCTTTGGCTTTCAAGTTTGCCATGTGCTGGTGGTAGCGTCGACGATGGAGGGCCTTTACTTTCTCGATCCCGTTCACGGATGCATACTGACGTTTCCGATACAGTTTTTGGGTCCGTTTGTTGGCCTCGGGGTCCCTCTTTTTTCGGCGCGATGTGGGCGTATCTATAATTTAATTCCAGTAAACGGGAAGAACACACGTCCGCCAAGGCTCGTAACTTTCGGAATGGACTCTCTCTGGTCTGTCTCTCTCTGGCACGACGGTCCCGTTGCTGTTGCACAATCTGTTCGCGGTGTTTGTGGTAGTAATCTCGGTTCAATAGACGCACGTAGGCCGCGTTTTTCGTTCGGTACCGCAGACAGGCCAGTCGGTTGAGTTCTCGGGCTCGCGCTTCCTGTTCGGGGGTCGGCGCTGGTTTAGGTGGTTTGGGTGGTTTCACCTTTTTCTGAGCCGCTCGCTTTTCCCGTTTCTGCTGCAACAATCTTTCCTTATTCCTGATGTACCACTCGTGTTTCAAGCGTTTCTTCTCTTCAGGATTTTTGTTAGGCATTCTCAAACGCAACTGGCGTCTGTTCTGAACGACCGACTTTATCTAAGGGATTCTCCGCCAATCACGGATCTCGGTCCAGGTTTAGAGGAGATGGAAGGAGTCTGTACCCATGGGGGGGACCCCCCTTAATCTTCTTCTGGTCAATCAAACCCCCTCACCTGACTCTCACCTGAGCTGGGTCCACCAATCCCAGTGCAGGCGAGATCACGTGAGAAGGTCTATAAAAGTCCACGTCCAGCGCGGGAAAATTCAAATTGTTGCCGCTGTCATGGCGGAGGCGTATCCATTCAGTGACGATGACGAAGGGGATGCTCTATTGGACCGCGCCTATGATCGGTGGGAACAGTTGGGAGGAGCTGCTGCCCGTGGCCCTCTCTTTCAATTCAGTATGCAACCTATTGGTCGACGACGCCGCTGGCGTGATGTAGTGGAGCGGGCGCAATTCAATGCGCAATTACGGCAATTGCGGGATCCTGTCCCTGGAGATAATATTGGGTTGGCGTTGACCGAAGCACTCCATCAAGCCATTGAAAGAGAACTGGGCCGCGAGCAGCGACCTGCCCATCATTTTGTGAATTTTGCTATTACAGCGCATGGGTTCACTCATGCTTATCAAACAGCCAATTTTACCGTGGGGGAATTTTTACAACGTACCGCCCGTTTGGATGAAATGTTAGCGACGTTAGCCGGCAAGTTGAATAGCAATGAAGCCTTCAACCCCGATCGCGGTTTCCAAGTGGATGTGGTGTTTGTGTCTATGCCTGGTCCAGGGTCTGGTCGACATAAACAACGCAATGCAGGACGTCTATGCCTGGATCGAGAAAACAAGAAAAAAAAATGTATTATCACCATTCGAAACAGAGATGCCCTATGCTGTGCCCGCGCTATCGTCACCATGCGTGCCCACTGCCATAAAGATCAAGGGGTGGATGGGTTTCGCGACTGGGACAATCTCAAACGTGGTCGACCTGTGCAGCAACGTCAAGCCCAAGCCNAAGTTGAATAGCAATGAAGCCTTCAACCCCGATCGCGGTTTCCAAGTGGATGTGGTGTTTGTGTCTATGCCTGGTCCAGGGTCTGGTCGACATAAACAACGCAATGCAGGACGTCTATGCCTGGATCGAGAAAACAAGAAAAAAAAATGTATTATCACCATTCGAAACAGAGATGCCCTATGCTGTGCCCGCGCTATCGTCACCATGCGTGCCCACTGCCATAAAGATCAAGGGGTGGATGGGTTTCGCGACTGGGACAATCTCAAACGTGGTCGACCTGTGCAGCAACGTCAAGCCCAAGCCCTCCATCAGCAAGCGGGCGTCGCCGAGGGTCCCTGTGGTTTACCCGAGCTTCGCCAGTTTCAACAGGCATTAGGGTCTCAATATCAACTCTTGGTGATGACCCGGATGAAACCCTTTTTTCTCATCTTCAAAGGCCCTGATGCACCTCATCCGATACGTTTATTGAAATCCGATGATCATTTTGATGGCTGCACGTCCTTTCCTGCGTTTGTCAATCGCTCCTATTATTGCCTGGACTGTGAACGAGGGTTCAACAACAACGATCGGACCCATCACACTTGTCAAGGGAGACGCTGCAAAGCGTGTGGTCGATTTGATTGTCCAGATTATGTGCGTGGTACCCGCCCTACGGAGTATTGCCCCTTATGTCATCGCAAGTTTTACGGCAGCCAATGCAAACATCATCATGTGGTCACTAAACAATGTCAATCCCTCAAAACCTGTCTCAAGTGCCAGGCCCAGTACACCGTCGTCCCTAACCAACGTCATCAGTGTGGGTACGCTAAATGTCCCGTGTGTCACGAATGGGTGTCCATCCAATACCATAAGTGTTACATTCAACCCGTGGTCGAGAATGAGGAAGAAGAACCCACAGAGGAGGGGGGAGGTAGCATGGTGGCGCCACCCCCTCCCCTGTTTGTTTACGCCGATTTTGAAGCCATGCAGAATGCGGATGGCGTGTTTGTAGCCAATTTGTTGTGTTATTCATCCAGTGAAGAAACGACCATTCATGTGTTGGACGGGGAAGACTGTGCTCTCCAATTTTTGCATGATTTGGATGATCTCGTGGCTCTCCCGGACACAGAGGGCGAGCGGGAGATTCTCGTGGTGTTTCACAATTTGAAAGGGTTTGATGGCATGTTTATTTTGCATGAACTGTACCAGCAACAACGCGAGGTGGTGGATCAACTGACGGTGGGCGCCAAAGTCTTGTCTTTCAAGAGTGGACCCCTCAAATTCATTGACTCGTTGTGTTTCTTGCCCATGTCGCTGGCTTCGTTTCCCAGCACCTTCAATTTGACCGAATTAAAGAAGAGCTTCTTTCCGCATTTGTTCAATACCCCGGATCATCAACAGTATGTGGGTCGCATCCCCGATTTGGAATTTTACGATCCCGAGGGCATGATGACCAAAAAGAAAGACGAACTGACGCGTTGGCATGCCGATCAAGTCCGTCGTAACGTGCGTTTTGATTTCCGTCAAGAAATGATCGAGTACTGCAAATCAGATGTGGCTCTGTTGAAAGCGGGGTGTGAAGCTTTTCAGCAAGAATTTGAACGGCAGGCTGGCTTCAATCCTATGGCCAAATGCGTCACCATCGCCAGTGCCTGCAATCTCTATTGGCGCAAGCACCATTTGACCCCCGACACGATCGCTGTCGAACCACTCGGGGGTTGGCGAGGGGCCCAAGTCAATCAATCGCTCAAGGCCCTGCAATGGCTGTACTACCAAGAACACCTTCTTCCCAAAGAGGGAGCCAGTGCCGATCGCATTCGACACGTCCGGAATGGGGGCGAGCAGTTTGTCCGGACCCTCGTGAACAGTTATTTTGTCGATGGGTACGATCCCTTGACCCGAACCGTCTACGAATTTCATGGGTGTCTCTATCATGGCTGTCCCATTTGTTATCCCATGAGAAACGCCAAACATTATGCCACACCGGATCGAAGCGTGGAGGAACTCTATCAGGCCACGCTCTCCAAACGTATGGATCTCCTCCGAGCGGGTTACACATTGATTGAAATGTGGGAATGTGAATGGGACAAGTTGGTGGTCACGGATGAAGCTGTCCAACGTTTCCTGAATTCGTTTGATTTGGTGGCACCCTTGGAACCCCGTGACGCCTTTTTTGGGGGTCGCACCGGTGCGGTGGCCCTGCATGCCGTGGCTGAAGAGGGGGAGGACATACGTTATGTGGATGTGACCTCCCTGTACCCATGGGTGAATAAGAACTGCCCTTACCCTATCGGTCATCCCAAGATCATTACCCAACCCTCTGACCAGTCCCTGGAGTCTTATTTTGGTCTGGCGACCGTGGACATTCTGCCTCCCGCTGGTCTATTCCACCCCGTCTTGCCTGTACGTTGTGGTCAAAAACTTACCTTTCCTCTCTGCCGTGCCTGTGTCCAGACAGAACAAGCCCAACCCATGTTGACCCGAACCCAGTATTGCCCTCATTCGGATGTGGATCGCACGCTACGCGGGACCTGGTGCACGCCCGAACTGGTCAAAGCTGTGGAAAAGGGGTATACCCTGATCAAGATCCACGAAGTCTGGCATTTTCCCCCTGAGCAACGTCAAACGGGTCTTTTCGCGGATTACGTCAATACTTGGCTCAAACTCAAACAAGAATCCGCGGGGTGGCCTAGTTGGTGTCAGACCCTTGAGCAAAAACGCGAGTACATTCTTCGCTACCAGGAACGGGAGGGGATCCGATTGGATATTGCCAGTATTGCCAAAAATCCCGGTCGCAAGGCCACGGCCAAGCTCATGCTGAACAGTTTTTGGGGCAAGTTTGGCGAGCGGATGAACAAACCTACCACCGTCACCGTTCAAAACCCCGCCTATTTGTTCAATCTCATCTCTGATGCTGCCCTCGATCTCAGTACCCTCCGTCTCTGTACCGACGACATTTTGGAGGCCGTTTACACCAGTGTCCAAGACAATGCCGTCAAAGGCACCAAGACCAATATCTTTGTGGCGGCCTTCACCACGTGCCATGCCCGATTGAAGCTCTACGAGTCCCTGGACACCCTTCAACAACAAGTGCTTTACTACGATACCGACAGTGTGGTGTACAAGTGGCGTCCGGGTCAACCCTCTATCACCACGGGCGATTTTCTGGGGGACATGACCGATGAATTGGACGGAGACGTCATCACTGAGTTTGTATCGGGGGGCGCTAAGAATTATGGGTACACGACCCGTGGAGGTAAAGTGGTGTGCAAGGTCCGCGGTTTCACCCTGAATGTTCGGGGGTCGGCTATTCTTAATTTTCACACCATGAAAGAGAACATTCTCTCGGAACTAGACTCGCCTCAGGACGCTCGCCGGAATTTGAACATTGTCACCCCTTATCATTTCACACGTGATCTAGAGAAGAAACAAATTCAAGTGGTTCCGCGCGTGAAGCAGTATGGGTTGGTGTTTGACAAGCGCGTCATTGATGTGTCGACTCGATCCAGCTTTCCCTATGGCTACGAGAAGATTGGGGATGAACTCGATCTGCTATTAGATTTGTAAGACATAAAAATGGGCGTGACGTCACTAGGACCTCACACACGTCCCACTTGTACCCAGGTTTTACGCGGTATGGTCAATAAAACTATGCCAAGTATGTGGATCCACCTCTTGTGTGTGTGGTGTTTTTTCCCTATGGGGTCACGTGACTTTGATGCCCAAATATGGGCATGGCGACGTCATCTTGGTCACATGGGCTCTATGCTCGATTCTGATTGGTCGAAAAAAATTTTGCTGCGCTCTGATTGGTTGGGCCCTACTGTAGCCTCCATCACTACTGACGTGGTATTTGAACAGGCTTTCAGCTGGCAATCATTCGTGTATTTGACTTCGAGGGACTTATTTCCAGCTGCTTCATTAGCTAATATTTCATTGATTTCGTTAGAGAGGTTACACGCAACACTTTTCCCCTTTAGGCACTGTCTTATTGGAAGGCGGGTTTACCTTACCACTATTTGTTGTAGTTGGTTGTTCTCCTTGACTTTGTCATCTGTGTTTTCTCTTCTTGATTTGCGCGAATCGCCGGCTTTTCCGTATGTATTTGCATCTTACATTTTTCTCTCCCTTCTCATTCTCACAGTTTCATATGTCATAATTATCTCAACTGTCAAAAACAATCCTCCCTCCCCTAATGCTGGACCAGCGCTTTCAAAAGAAAGGAAACTAACGATGACCTTATTTACAGTTTCTGCGGTCTCTGTTCTGACCATTCTTCCTTGGGTTATTTGGATTGTTATCGAACTTCACATACAGAGTAAATTATGTCCTGCAGTCTTTTTTCGCATCTATTGCTCGTTTAAAGTAATTTATTTTTTCAATTCTGTAGTCAATCCCCTAATATATGGAATAAGAATGCAAGAGTTTAGGAAAGCAGCCAGAAAGCTTTTTTCTACTAAGACACCAGAACTAGCGCGAGTCCAACCAATGGAATCTCTTACATTGCATGTACGTACTCAAGCAATACCTGTTGAAGAAAGAACATAAGAAATGGAGAGTTCCTTAGAAAAGCTCTAACAAGATTGCAGTGGTCTTCTTGCCTAGATATCTTTTGTAATCTTTAATCAGTGTAAGAGAGATATGAGTGGCCAAATAATAAACAATGAAATAAAATAAAGTAATAATTAAGAAAAAGCACGCAAACTGCGGTCATAAACATTGTTGGAAAACAAAATATACATCTGCAGGAGGAACCCCGTGGTCTACGGACACCCGCTTTAGAGTTTAGGGAAGAAGCTAGGAAACTTGCTTTTACAAAGACACTACAATTAACGCGTGTCCAATCCATGGAACTTTTTACATTGCATGTACGTACTCAAGCGATACCTGTTGAAGAAAGAACATAAGAAATGGAGAGTTCCTTAGAAAAGCTCTAACAAGGTTGCAGAGGTCTTCTTGCTTAGGCATCTTTTGTAATCTTTATTAATCAGCGTAACAAAGATATGAATAGTGAAATAAAAAATGAAATAAAGTAATAATTAAGAAATAGCACGCAAACTGCGGTGGTAAACATTGTTAGAGTAACATACAACTTCAGGAGAAATTATATTGGCTGCAACGTTCGCATTTCCGTACGCATGTGCATCTAAATATATGATTACTTGCCATTGCAATCATCACTGTCTCTTTGATGTACAGTGGAAATCCGCTCTATGGACACCCGTCTACAAAGGACAGTTTAGTTTGTCCCGAGCGAAAAAAAGATCAACAACATATATTTTCTAGGAAATTACCCTGATTTTAAAAATACAGACATCCGCTTAATTTGTACACTAAAACATGTCCCGTGGGTGTCCGTATTGATCGGTTCCATTGTAATTATTTCAAATATCAAAAATAATATCTATTTCAGTGCGATGGCTTACCCTTTTAGCCGATGATCTCGTCATTTAAGAGGGAATTTGAATGAAAACGGTGCGATGGTGAATGACAAGTTATTTTGAAGGGCGCAAAATTGTGTTAAAAGAAAGTAATGTCTCACTAGGTTTTAGTTTGATAGGAATCATGTACCCTGCTCCGAGGTCGTTCAATTCCACAGTCTTGACTTCCGCTTGATTGGGCTGTAGCACCAACATGGCCAATACATGGGGGGAATTATAGGATGTGTACTCAATTTAGTACATTAAGATAAAATAAAAGCTGAATTTAAAATAAAAAAGGTCATATATTATGGGAACCTATGCACCTTTATGTTATTAATTAATATTCTTAAAATAGACTTGCTAGGTTTGGTGCCCTAGCATCCAGACCTCACTCCTGAATATTTACTTCCGTCTCAGTGAGTTCCAGTCCTCACTCCTACTTAATTACGTCCGCGACGGCGGGGCCGAACAGGTGTTCCCACTGCACCAAAGTATGGTACTAAACCGATGTGACGCTCCACTTTTAGGATCGGCGCAGTCGCTCCGTCACATAATTTGCGCCGCCACAACCGTTCAACTGTTGATTACAGAAACGTTTTGGTGGGGTCCGTTATTGGCATGCATGCCAAATAATTTTCAAATTGTCATAATGGTCGTTCTCCGATACATAGGGTTTTAAAACGACGAAAAGTAGATTCAACATAAGATGGACGGCTCATAATTTATTCGCTTACGACAGATCTGCAAGAAACCGGAATAGATTTCCTCTATTAACAACCACTCTTATAACAACTTGGGAGCACGCTTCATTAAAAAAATGATAACGAACAGAAGGTGAAGACAGCAATTAAACTGTTGTGACGTTTGGAAATTAACGAAAGAACCTCTTTTTCTTTTTAGCGCGAACGCGTAATGACAGCGAAATTGCTTAAGAAACGGTAATATATTGAGAAGGTTATAATGAGAATTATTATAGAAATAATACAGAGTATAGAGAGTTTGGAATTCAATGGACAGAATTTCAATAAAGGATAAAATAATTATTTGTTTTCAACAAATTAAAAACAAACGACGGTCCCATAAAATTCACCTGTTTAGTTTAATTCTCTAAAGTTGGGTTAATTTATTGCGAAATAATATAAATGCAAAAAGTTGAACTCTGACAACAAATTAAATCAGTGTGTTTAAAGAAAGGAACATAGTAAGTTACAAAGATTCCTTAACAGGGTCGTCACATGGTTGAGGGCCGTAAGTTTTCGCAGCTTTTTTTTCGCATTAATGTCATAGATCCCTGAAAAAATCCTCGAAATCCGCCAAATATCATGTTCCACGAAAATTTTGCTCCACATAATATATATCTTGGTCTATCTTGGAAAAAAATAAAGCAAGTAAAGAACTCATCGTAAGAGACAATTAACCTAGTGACATAAGTTTTTTCCCTTGTACTACCCCAAGGCATTCCTCACTTGCCTTTAATTTTCCAGTAAAAGTGAACCCGAACTCTAGCCCTCTCACAGGTTGCTAATATCCGTGCCACCGGCCAAACAGGAAAGCCGGAGTTCAAAATCAATGGTCGAAAGCAGTGATCAATAGACAAATTTTAGCTTTCTACCTTCTTTTACGAAGAAAAACGTAAACGAAACGCTTAATGTATTGTTTATTTCTTGCCATAACGTTTACAAAGCAAGAAATAAGTTCCTAAAAATACTAATAAAAGCCAATGGCGAGTAAGCCCAAGGTAAGTCACTGGGCTAATAAGGAATAGGCTCCCTAAATTTAATAATTTTAATGAAGTAAAAAGAATATTATTTTTCCCCTCAAGTTACAATTTCTTTTTTTTTTTTTTTCATCATTGTTATACCTGATCTATCACTTACCATAAATAACAGTAAATGCCTTATACCCATTTTGCAATACATCAATGCAAAATTACAGTCACTTACTGTGGTGTCATTTTTTGGAGTGCTCGGTAGGACACTCGTCAACGCGGTTTATTGGAAAACCGAGACGGAATCCTTTTATTGTTCTCTTGTTTTATTTTTTCTTTGCGTTACTACTCCTCACATTAACATGCTGTTTTTTTTTTGTATTCTTTTATTGTAAATTTCCTTTAGAGAAATGAGGAATACCAACGGGCACCGTAACACTTGGTGAGGATAAAATAATGCTGGAACGTTTGGAGTGAGACAGGTACAATAATTTCTGAAAAAGAAGAAAGAGCCTGGTTTGCAGCATTGGTCATCGAGTTTGTTGTCATCTTTTACTGGTGGGAACAATTGGTGGGAAAAGTGACCGGACTTTTACTAATATTTGAACCAGATAACCTGGAGAGGGACCTGGAACTTTCAACAGCTTTCAGCTGGGAATCATTTGTGTATTTGACATTGACAGAGCTATTTCCAGTTGCTTCATTAGCGAATATTTCATTGATTTCGTTAGAGAGGTTACACGCAACACTTTTCCCTTTAGACATTGTCTTGTTGGAAGGCGGGTTTACCTTACCACTATTTTGTGTAGTTGGTTGTTCTCCTTGACTTTGTCATCTGTTATTGCTCTTCTTTATTTGCGCTTATCACTTGCAAATCCATATGTCAAGGCATCACACACTTTTCTCACCCTTGTCGTTGTCAGTTTCATATGTAATAATTATCTCAACTGTAAAAAACAATCCTCCCTCTAATGCTGGACCAGTTCTTTCAACAGAGAGCAAACTAACGGTGACTTTATTTATAGTTACCGTGGTCCCTTTTCTAACCATTCTTTCTCGCACTATTTGGCAGATTATCCCACCCCATATGTCAAGTAAAGTCTGCCCTGAAATATTTTATCGCATCGATTACTTTTTTTTGCACTATATTTGTTCAGTTATATAGTCAATCCCTTAATATATGCAGTAAGAATGCAAGAGTTTAGGCCCAGTTTAGGAAAGCAGCCAGGAAACTTGTTTCTACAAAGACGCTAGAACTAACGCGAGTCTAACCCATATAACCTCTTAGATTACATGTACGTACTCACGCAATACCTGTTGAAGAAAAAACGTAGGAAATGAGAGATATCCTAGTAGAAAAGCTTGCTAAGGTCTTGTTGCCACTAGATATCTTTTGTAATCCTTGATCAATGTAACAAAGATATGAGTGACGAAACCCAGGGGGAGGGGAGAGAGGCAGGGCATGAGGTAGGGATTTAATTGTCTTTGTTAATCAGCAAAAGAAGGGAAAAAAACAACAACAAAAAAAAACAAGAAAATTACACGTTTTGACTACAAAGGTCAAAGAGCTCACTTTTCGACAGTAAGCCTTAATTCTGTTGTTATGTTTAAAATTACTCGCCAGATATTGTCTATTTACCATCTACGTGAGTAAGCTGTTCCAGATTCTAAAACACCATCTGCCCTCCGTTCATACTTATGCTGACGATACACAGTTGTATTTGTCATTTAAGCCCTCTGACTCTTCCAGTGAAGTTGAAGCTGTATCAGCCATGCAGAAGTGCATCTGCGATGTCCGAGCATGCATGAGGGAGCATCAGCTGATGCTCAATGATGACAAGACTGAGTTCCTGATTATAGGTACTCGTCAGCAGCTTTCAAAAGTTTCAATCCAAAGCATCAAGATTGGGCAAACTTTAGTCTCTCCTGTAGCCTCTGCGAGCAGTTTAGGAACATGGTTCGATACGCATCTAGATATGGGAACTCACATTACAAAGACTTGTAGCAGCGCTGTCTATTATTTATACAATATACGTCATATTAGGAAATATTTATCTGGAGAATCAACTGAGAAATTAGTTCATGCTTTTATTAGTAGTAGATTGGATTATTATAATAGCCTTCTATATGGACTCCCGGAATATCAGACTATGAAATTGCAACGTGTTATGAATGCGAGTGCAAGACTTATATATCGTGCGCACAAGTTCTGTCATATAACACCTATACTCGCAGAATTACATTGGCTACCAGTGCGCTACAGGATACATTATAAGATACTCTTGATCACTTTTAAAATTTTTCATGGCCTA